TGCATTATTGGCCTTTAAACATATGGTGTAGCATATTATATATCACCTATAATCTCTGTTACAGCAGGAGTACAGAGAGCTTGTTTTCTACTAACTGTAAATAGAAATTACTTTAATCTTTTCTGAAATGTTTACATGTAATTGGAGAAGTGTCCAATAACAAACAAACAAAAAAAAGCTGTTAGGATAAAGTTCAATAAAGTATGATTACACAACAAAACACACTCTGTTATATTAAATTAATTAAAATGTAGATAGATTAATAATAATAAATTAAATTCCACTGTAAACACAGAAAACAGGAGTCCTGATACAAAATGGATGTATCTTCATTACTTTGTTATTCTTCCTGTTGCATGTGTCTTAGGGTTTCTCTGTTGATAAATATTAGTGCTTTGTATCCTAATTATATTTTCAGAAGCAGGTAACCTTATCTAAACTGTATAAAATTGGGCAGTACCTATTGTCAGTGTGTGGAGATCATTATGTATTCTTGTTCACTAGTTATGAACAGCTTACAAATACCACTCAGTTCATTCTCAGCTCTTTCAGTATCATAGAACCAGAAGGATTCAAAAGGTTGTTATTATGGTAGACACTCTACACATATACCAAAGTGGGAAGAGAAGGAATGCAGTAATTTCTTCTTTTAATATAATTATTTCCTGCTGAAGAGCCTGATCCTGCACTGCGTGTGGTTTCACACATACATTTATTTTTGAAAGAAAGATCCTACAGAGAGAAGATTCTCCATTAAATGTTTAATTACACATCTTTCAATAAGCCAGAGCGACTTGCCTTACTGAACAGTTTCTTTTTCAGATCTGTAACTTAGAATATGATGTGACTTTGGATTAAATTTGTAAGGGCTGTGACTTGTTTCCTCGGTTTGTAACAAAGAAAAAAATTCCTACCTACCTTGAACTGTCTCTGAATATGACTGTATGATTTTCTGACTCTCCTCAAAAGCACTGAAAACTAAGGGAAGGCTTTGCATGTAATTTTCATTATCAATACCTAACTTTCAAAAGAAAAGGAACTTGGAATAAAAATAATGTGTCTTCACTGGTTATATTTTTTTTAATCAAAGTCAGATTGGTCAACATTTCTTGAAAATATCTGTACAGTTTTTCAAGGCTTCTAAAAAATGCAACAGTTTAATGCAGGTGCAGGCTACCTATGCTGCCATCTATTTATGCTGTTAGGAATATGATTTTTGTAAGCAACATGCAAAAATATAAATTTGTATGATTCCTGTTAACAATTAGTTCTTAAGAACAATAAATGAGTGTTTACCTGGAAAGCGTTTTTAGAGGTAAAGCTGAGTTTTTATTGTACAACAAAAGAGTGGTGTTAAATACAAAATCTTAGTATTCACTATTTCTCTGTTAAATTTATCTGGGAGAAATCCAGATTTCTTAATCTTCAAAGAAGTTCTGTCATCATTTTTGCAGCTATGTTCTTGTATCTAATTTCCAATATCAATGTTTTCATTCTGAGTCATAGTTTTTGTTTTAATTAGTACATTCTCATGTATTAAAAAAGCAGTCTACAGTCATTCTCACCTGAAATGCTTTTTAGATGTGTTAAAAATTTGTTTGTTTACATATCTCTAATTTTATTTAATGGGATCCAAAGAAATGGTGGACAGCCTGCATCAAAAACATGAGAAACTCTTCCAAACACGATGGGCCTTCCATCTGGGTCCATCACGGAGCCAACAGATTATGTGATTTTCAGAGGCTGTCCCATCCATTGTGCTTTGTAGGGCTGCTGTAGCAGTCATCTTTATGGCAGAGTTGGGAGTTCAATTTCTTTGAGAATGCCTTGTAACAAATGGGTTGCAGTCATAAATCACATTCACTTTGTCACTTTGGTTTTTCATGAGAGCTTTGACCAAGAATTTTTTGAGAGTTTGTGGCCCACTCGAAGGAAGGACCATATCTTTTCACTGGGTTGCTCTACCTGAACTAATTTCCAATACATTGAGAGATTTATATGAAAAAGAGTCAGAGATTGCCTCTCTACTACATTTTTGTAAAATCAGATTGGAAATCTTCAAAACCGCAGACATTAAACAAAGGAAATATACCTAGTGCACATAATTGGCCATAAAATAGCAGGTTTGGGATAATCTTCCAAACCAGATAGCACAGTAGCACTATGCCAGTAAGTAAAGTACAGTCTGGTGTATCACTGAAGGCTGTGAAATGTACCAATTTATATTATCCAGTGACAATTAGAGAAATATCTTTGCTTAATATGTTTTACTAATGTGAAATTCATGCAGTTTTCAAAATGTCTTGTCCTTTATCTGTTGGAAAGAATATATGTATCAGATATGATACACACATATGGATCATCAGATAAAATTCTTTTAAAGGCAATATTATCTATATAAATCTGTATTTTTACTAATGATCTTGGCTGCCAGACTTTTTCATTCTTCTGTCTGTCATCCTGAAAAGCAAGTATATTAGGTTCTCTACTTTAGCTTATTCACCTTAAAAGTGACTGTTGAAAATTACAAGAAAAACAAATTTTGAGAGAAAAGCTGTTAGAGTGTACTGCAAAGCAGGCATCTCCAAGAGTAAGAGCACGTACAGTCAGGGAGATTCAGAGCAGATACTACAAAAGCTAGCAAAAATATGCCTGAAGAAGGGGAATCTGTATTTCAGACTGAGGAATAGAGGACTCTTGTGGCAACACGAGTCTTGCTAAGCATCTTACTGGCTAGATTATTTAGCACAGACTATGAACAAATCAGAGCCACTTACAAAGTTGATTTCCACTCTCTTTAGATCAAAACTTTTACTTGTGTGTTTGAAAATACACAAGCCAGGAAAGACAGAGGGAATGTAAAGGTAAGAGAAGTGGTGTACAACACCCTCACATTTTGTTATATTTTATAGTAGTAAGCATGTAAGTGTTAGAAAAAATTCTTGCAGGGTTTAGAGGTTAAAGGTAATGGTTTAATTGGGAAAGTGTCTCTCTGCCTTCTCATATCTGTGTGACGTGGAAGTTGAGTAGCATCACTGAGGTGAAATTGTTACAAGAAGGCAAGTTCAGGTCTCACATAAACAAAGGAAATTTTGGTCACTTCAGAGGAAATTGAATACTGACTCCGGTTAATGAATTTTACTCTCTGCTCTTGCATCCCAAAGTTGTAAAAACCTGTTTGTCTTGCCTGTGGGAATAACTAAACTTAAAATAAAACATTATTGTATAGAAAAGTGGTGTTTCCAATGCTACAAAACCTTTAGGTATCATAAAGTGTAATAACCAGCATTAACCATCTGAAAGTTAGGTGTTTACTCAAGTGAATCTGCACTCAATGGAGAGAGACAGGTGAACCAAGAGTGGGGTTAGTTCCATACTAAAATAGATGCCTAAACTAAATCAGATAAACTTGGCTCAGGATTTCTTTATTCTGTTGACTATGGAAGGAGTACAGTGATAGCTGAGCTTAAATTCCTTCCCACAAGCGTCTGATTCTGAATGGAAGTCCGGTTTGTCTTCTCCACTTGTATTTTAGAGTAAGACCTTCAGAATTTTTATTCTTAAAATTCACTTGTTGTTTGCAGAAGTTTATCAGACTTTTTAGTAATGACTGGTACGTTTACTTTGTCTCTTCATTAATCAGTGTTTTAAAACCATCGTTTATGCTGTAATGAATCATGTGGAAAGTGGTATTCAGTGTAATATTAGATGAAGTAATTTCTTTTAAAAGTAAACTTCAGCAGATTTGTATTTCTTTTTTCTTCTAAGTGTTACATTTATACAAAGTCTTTCAGAGTATATTCAAGTAATAGAAACATTAGAAGAGTTTTTCCTCTTAAGATTGGCTCATGTTTTAATTTATTAACAATAATATTATTTTTGCTGATTTACAGAAGACTGGAATGTCCCACAACGTCTCACAAAGCAGTATTTATATTCTAGCTTGCTATTATATACAGAAAAAAAATTTGAATTTTCCTAGACAAGCAAGTGACTGCTTTTTCACGAGTGGAAAACCTGGCCTGCTGACAGCTGTTTGACTGTATCCTTGTTAGCTGGAGCGATGGTCTCACACTGTGTGTCTGCCACAACCGCTCGACACACACTTTAGGCTCTTCCACAGGGCTTTTCTCTTACATACAGAACCACACATACTTGCTGCGTCTTTCCAGCTCTCACATATATTCCAGAGAACATGTGTGTATGTGGATGTTTATGCATATGCAGACACTTGATCTCAGTGTGTAACAAGTGGAAAATAAAACCATGTCCAAAACAGCATCTACACAAAAATGCATTCTTGAGTTTAGGGAACAAGCTAATTATCTCATGCCAAGGCTTCCTAAGTTTCAGTGTTCAGTTAGGAGTGACTGAGAACCCAGTTCTCTCTGCAGAGACTGGGTGACTGAAGTGGCAGCCTTTGCTCTGTACTCCAATATGTCCATGACATTTTTATTCCTGTATAAGTCAGACCTCCTTAAAAGACTAGCTGAACAAGAAGGTTTTTCTTCTACTGAAGAACTGTATTATGCAAAAATTTTATTTAGGCTAAGTGTCTTTATTGTGGAAAACATTTACTGCTTTAAGATACTTATTTTGTTGTCTGTTTTAATCATATCCTTTGAAACAGGCTCAATAGATTTTTGTATTTGTAATATTATGACATTTGATAAGATGATTGATTATGAAGTGTTGAGAGGTCTGCCATGTGATCATTTATTTTTAAATACACATTTGTACTAGCCAATGCTTAAATTTCTTGCAGGAATACATGAGAGATGAAAAACATAAAGCTTGATCAAATCTGATGCTTCTGGAAATAGAATGCCACAGTACTGTGGCCTAAAAATAACAGATTCTGACTGAAACTGGAACTTTGCAGTGATAAATACTATGTAAAAGTTATGGTCCATCTTTGGTACAAAATAAAAAAGATCTACAACTGTGGTGTAGGCAAAGTAAAATGTGTTTGACGATGACATCTTTCTTTCCCTGTGCAGGTGCCTGTGTCAGTGGCCATGATGACTCCCCAGGTGATCACCCCTCAGCAAATGCAGCAGATTCTCCAGCAGCAAGTGTTGTCTCCGCAGCAGCTTCAAGCACTTCTCCAGCAGCAGCAAGCAGTTATGTTGCAGCAGGTAATGTGGGTTACCTGCTTTGGACTGTTAGCACAGGGCATTCACACAAATGTCAGCCAGATTTTATGGGTCTTACTTTGTAATATTTCATTGTTCATTATACCAAAAAAGAATGAAAATAAATGCAAAACTTCTCAGTCTTTAAATTTCTTCTTTCAATTGCATAAGTGTGAAATTGTATTTTGAAATATTAAATATTATATTAAAAGCAGCAGCAGCAGTGGCAGATGCATTAAAAATACTAAACAAATTGATATTCAAATTTTCAAGTGCTTAGGCACATTTTAATTGTAGACCTGCCAAAGGAAGTGAAAATAGAGTTGCAGATAATTGTTGCTTTAAAATTCATAACACTGTAGTGCTCCCTTTAGTCACATAAATGGATGCGGTTATGAAATTTGAACATAACAACTTGTTCATCAGGGGAAACATTTTTTTATTTTAATTTTTTTCATACAAAAAAATGGTACCAGATAAGGCTCAAAAGAGGAAGGAGGTTGCTGTTTCCTTAGTACAAAATCTGTCAGTTAGGTGAAAAATGCATGAACTTGTTATTCATACAGTAATGATAGTGTCAATGATCATGCCTTGGTGTAACGCAGGGTGAATTTTTGGGTGCATGCTTAATTGTCATACAGAAAATTATGTGTCTGTTTGTCATAGTCATAACTCAATCACTGAACTGTATGTTTAAACATTTTAATATCCAGTACCATGATCATTACAGGCAATTCACCTTCAGTTGTGAATCCAGCATCCTGCTAAGCAGATTGACAGATTAATTACTTTTTTCCCCTCAGAAGCAGACAGTTTTGTTTGGCCTTAGTGACTTGTAGGTTTCTTGCAAGTGGATGAGTGCAGCTTCTGATGTGTTACATAGGACATGTGAGGAACTTAGGTATAGTTATTTGAGGAGTTAATTTGGCTCTTGCATTCCCTTTAGAATACAGATTTTCTATACCCTTCTGTTTAGGATATTTTGGAATCTGCATTGGAAAATTTCAGAACCGCCTTGGAAAAAAATGTATGTAGATCTGCCTCTTCAAATCACATTTTTTTTTGTTATGAGGTGATTCTTAATGGCTACTCTACCATATGCCAATCTAGAAGAGTTTAGGAGATTTATAATACTTGAAACTTTTGCCTTTATTTATTAAAGTCAAAATGGTTTATTCAGCAACAACTACAAGAGTTTTACAAGAAACAGCAAGAGCAGTTACATCTTCAGCTTTTGCAGCAGCAGCAGCAACAGCAGCAGCAGCAGCAACAACAGCAGCAACAACAGCAGCAGCAGCAGCAGCAGCAACAGCAACAACAGCAGCAGCAGCAGCAGCAGCAACAGCAGCAACAGCATCCAGGAAAGCAAGCAAAAGAGGTAGGAGCTAAGACCCTTGCTGATGCATACTGGTCTGAGCTGTCAGAAGCTTGGAAAAGACAAGATCAGTTTAGATCTTTTCCTTTGCAACTATCAAAGATTTGTTCTTATGTTTTTACTGGGCTTAATAGCAGGGCTAGTATAATTCTCCTGCTCCCCTTTCTGAGTCACAGGATTTGAGCAGTCTAGTGCTGCTGTCGTCTAATGTTCGCTAATGAATCCGAGTGTGCAAAGAACAAGCTGTGTGGTGGACTCCGTACTGATTATCTTGCATTTACAGGCAATCTGTGTTGGGGAAGGAGCCTTACTTTGCTCAGTGGCACAGCTCAGAGAGCATGCAAATTTAGTCCATGGCTGAAAAAGAGCGACTGAGCACAGATTTCAAAGTCACAGGCCCCTGATTAATGAACTGCTACTGTAGGTTTGAAGTGGCGAGTGGAAAGTTACAGTTTGATGTACTCATAAATCAACCTGACAAGTGGGTTTCTCAGGCCTAGCTTGCACTTGTCAGCAAACTGCATCAAATATAAACATAATACAAACAAAACACGTTGAAGTAGTTAAATTGATCAGCAGGTATCCTAGACGTTGTCTTCAAGCTGCCTATTATGCAAACGTCGAGGAAGCAGTTGTGACCTCCTGAGGCTTTGTTTCTGTTTGGATTTGTGAATAGAATTTCAGACAGCCATCAACTACAGAATAGAAATTGCTCCCTTATTTCTCCGGAGGCTCTGGGCAATCCACATGACTTGCTCCATTATGCAGTCTGTTTTCCAGTGAGTGCATCAGAAGTTTCTCTTTTCCCTAAACTAGAAAGGAAAGGTCTTCCACAGCAGCTTGTCTTTTTCTGAAGTGTGACTGCCTTCTCATACCCTCCTGAGTCTTTGTAGACTCAAGTTTGTCTTGAAATGCCTCACAAAATTGGAACCTATACTTTTGCTCCATAATAGGGCACTTCATTGCCTTGAATGCCGTGCTCCTTGTAATATATTCCAACAAGAAAAGGGAGCAAGCTAACAGGCCAGTGAAAGGAAGGCTACATCCCAGTTTACTAACAGATCACTGGAGACCATGTTCATGGGCCACTGCCAACCAAACTTAGTCAACTGGAAAAACAAGAGTGCCTTCAAATCACAGGCTGCTGTTAAAAGTTACACTTTTAGCATAGATAAATTTGTTATCATCTTCCATGAGCTGAGCTTTTTTTTTTTGTTTGAATCAGTTGTTATATACTTCTCTTGACCCTTTTCTTTAGCATGTCATTAAGTGTATGTTGCCATTTTCCCTAACACCTAATAGCTTGAATGAGTATAATAGAAAATTTCAAATGCTTTCACTGCCTGAGTATTCTACAAATAGCATTATTATTTAATAACTTAGATTAAAGAGAAAGAGGTTGATTTTATGGTTTTGGCTTTCTAGCCTTTACTATACACTTTACTTTTTCTGCTGCATTTCCTTTTTCTTTTTCTTTGTAGCAGCAGCAGCAGCAGCAGTTGGCAGCGCAGCAGCTTGTCTTCCAGCAGCAGCTCCTCCAGATGCAACAACTTCAGCAGCAGCAACATCTGCTGAACCTTCAGCGTCAGGGACTCATTTCTATCCCACCTGGCCAGTCTGCTCTTCCTGTCCAGTCTCTGCCACAAGGTATTTGAATAATATGTGATTGGAGTAATTTATAAATTCACAACTTTTTAACCATTCTATTTGCATCTGAACTTCAGAAGTTTCCTGTTATGATACTTAAACATACTTTGTAATTGAAGCTTTATGATATTACCAAATTTTCTGGAAGCTGATAAATTTTGCAGCATACTTTTATGAAGAAAAGCAGCTTTTTTAGTGTTTTTTTTTCCAGATGGAAGGTGCATATTTATTGACCTTATATGCTGAAAATAATTTCTAATAGCATCACAATTCAAGAATTGTTGCTTTTCTCTGGAATCACTGAAATGTGATTTTGTGGAATATAAGCAGATATAAAATACTTCAGACAGTGATATTAAAGCCATTTAAAAAAATCAAAGTTTTTTTCTTTTTCTTGCAAGAAGGTAAAGTGTCTGGCATTGAAAAGCACTTTGAATCTTCAATTTATGACAAGAGAATTTAGGGACAAGCCTTAGCATTCATTTTCTTTGCTATTCCTTTGTATGAAATAGGTTAAATATGACAACAAGTTTTGAAGATGGTGATTCCAATAGCAATGAACTATGACTGACAAATAACAGTAAAGACTTTCTGAAAAAAAAAAATTCCTTTTTTGCTTTGATCAGGATTTCTCAGTGCTGAAAATGAGCTCAAACTGTACTACCTGAAAGAAAATAGGGCACACACTTTTGTAAAGTAAATTAACTTGGAGATAAATACTGCTTACATTTTAAGATAAAGTCAAAGTCTTCCCATCTAATGACTCTGTCTATAACCTGCAAGGTATGTGTTTCTGTTTGTTTTACCATAGAGAGTTGAGCTAAATGCCTGTCATAAAAATTACACAATAATCTGATCTCTGGTGCCCCAGTCCTGAAATAAGCATTGTTTAGACTGTGTTCATGACAGGTAACATTATTTTTAATTGGTCTTTATGCATGTAATTAGCTCCTCCACCAGATAACTGTTTTGAAATCGAAGCTTCGGAAATAGATGAGCAAAACCAGAGTACTCAGTATGTACAAAACAAGGTATACAAAAAAACCCCAATCAGACCAAACCAAAACAAGCAAACAAAACAAAACAAAAAACCAAACCAACAAACAAAAAAACCCCCCACCAGAAAATCAGAGATTCCAAATAAATGTGTTAATTTCATACGTTGTGTTGTATGAAAAAGCTATGACACAAGCATATCCACAGTCATAAAAACCAGGATGAAAAAGAGTCCTACTACAATATTATTTTTTGTGAATAGCAGTGGGGAGATGAGTTCATTCATGAATTTGGACATGTGAGACTGGTAATGCTGGTTTCTTTTTGCACAAAGTCACACTAGACCTGAATGGAAAAAAGCAATTCCCTCCGTACAGCTTTACCTTTTGCAATCTCCTCTTGTGCCATCTGTTGCAAGAGGAATTCCTCAGGTTTTCTCTCACATTAAGCAATCCCCACAGATTTCCCTCAGCACTCCTACCCAATTGCACTGATATTCATTAGTTTAATGCAACACTCATTCATCCACTTCTAGAATAAAAACATAGAAAAAATAATAGCTTTTAAAATAGTTTTTAGAACTAGTAAACAGTTCTTTTTAGGAGCTTTCTTTTACTCAAAGAATTAAGTCCAACTGAAGTCATGACAAAAAAAGATTTATAGTAAAGAAAAAAGAAATAATGAAATATTTTACAGTTTATATAAATATGGATTGTTGTTGTTGTTAAAGTAAATTAATATATTTTTTCTTTTGCCTTGATATTTTTTAGTTATAATGAATTCCAGACAAGTATTTAATTCTTCCATTTTTAAATTAAACTTCAGAATTGAATCAAGATAATACACACTAGATGTGGTAAAAGGATGTTTTTCTCCATCTGTTGTGCTGCAAAAGATAAAATATGTTACATAGAAAGATTTATGTATGTGTAACAAATATTTTTATATGCATCCATTCAGATTGCTGAGTTATGTGGATGACTAGAACACTGAAAGTAATACACAAGGATTCAAGTTTATAAGTTATTGGTCATAAACAGTCCCATAAACCACAAATTATTATGGCCAAAGAGAGTATGGGGTTTTTATTTTTTAGTGTGAAAAGGTGTAAAAAGGTGCAACCTAAAACTACGCCTGTTAGGTTTGCAGGAATAAACAGTATTTTCTTCAAGTATAGCTCCTGCCTTTAAAGAACAGGAATGTTTACCATGTTTTCTTGTTGGCCAAGTATCGCAAATAAGATGCAATAGGTGTTTTAGCATCTATTTTGTGACAAGGTCTTCACTATGCAGTATCCAAAAGCAGTGGCTTGCTTTGAGTTACTTACATGTATTGCTGTACTGATGCTAGTTAAATGCAAAGAATTTTAAATCACAGCAATGAAAAACCCCAAACAAACCAACCAAACAAAAAGCCCCCAGACCCCAAGTTTTGACTGGTCCATGTTGGGAAATGAAAAACAATTGCATGGATGGCTTTTATAAGTGATAGATTTATTAAGCATTTATTCAAACATAAAAATAGAGTAGGTAGAGGTGAAAAGAGTTATGAAACTAACCTCAAAATTACCAAATTCTTATTATTTGTAAATTTTGTAGCAAATCAGTATTTGCCCTTTTCATTATAGTCCCTAACTTTTATTCCACTCTAGGTCCTCTTTTTGATCCTTTCCTCTGTAATGTAGTGTGATATTTTAAAGGTTGTCATAACCTATGAAACTTTAAAATTTACCCTACTTTTACATCCAGACTGAAATATCTGTCAGCCATTTTATAGGTAAAATGTACAAGTCTCTTGTAAAAAGAGACTTGGACTTTCTTAGACATAGAAACCACAAAATTGCCATAATTTACCATTAATTACAATCCGTTTATTAACTTTATATGTTTTAAATGCCTGCCCTTAATCCTTTTATCCTAAAAGGCAGCCTTTCAGGGTGCTCTGAAGAAGTGATAAAATTAACCAGCCTGAGCCTAGAGAGAAATTTCTTTCTGATAAAAAAAAAAAATATCATGGGGAGCTAGGCAGCCTGGAGACACAGCTCCATCCATAGCTTCCTGCAGTGGAAGGGGCTGCCCAACAGGTGCCCAGAGGGGCAGGAGACCCCTGCCCATGGGACAGGCCATTGCCCCAGCTGCCTCTGGCCCTCCTACATTCACCCAGCTTATGGGGCGACTCTTTCTCAGCTCTCCCAGGACCCCAGGTTTTACAATCTTCAGTGAAATTTCTCTCTGTTGTATCTGCAAGACACAATATGTTTGCCCTCTGATTATCCAAACAGGTGGGTTTATTCTTGGTTTTAATTTTTTTTCAGTTCAAAATTAGTTTATTTTGTTCAACAGCAGGAGGAAAGGAAGACTTTGAAGTAAATAATGTACTGTGTATATCATGCCACCTAAATGAATACATTACTTTTCATTTTGATTTTTGATTACATTTGCAGGTAACTGTTATTTACTATACTAAAATGGTTTATTTGCAGTGTTACTGGAACATACCTCATGAACTCAACAGTAATTTCTTACCTTCATTAAACAATTACAACTAGTATTACCATCAATCCCGTTACCCATCTCTCAAATGCAGTAAATTAAAGCCTGGTTTCTTTGCTTGATTCCTTAAAACCTAACTTTTCACTATACGAATATGTTATGAACTCCAGGTTTAGGACTTACATTCCAATCAACTCTTTTTTGCTTTGCCGTTAGCAGAGTTTGCCAATGGTCGGTATCTAAGGTATTGAAACCTGACACAAAGCAGTAGTCTAAAAATGAGCTGCTTTCACATTAAAAAAAAAAAAATTAATCCCCTCCAACCACTTTGTTTCCACACTACCTCTAGAAATTATTTCTGTAAATAACTACTAGTCTATTTTTTTACAGCTTTCTATACTTCATGGTGACATAGCTACTAAGTATTACTGTGCTTTTTCATAGTTTTTTTTTAATCTGTTTTAGTAGTCTGAGTTCATATGTTCTCAAAATAAAACATTATCTAATAAAAAGATTTGCCAAACAGTGAAAACCAGTCTTTACGTCTGTCTACTATATCTTGTTTACCAAACAAAAATATACTCAGGGAGTAGTTTGAATGAATATATACTTTCTAGTACTTTTCAGAACCAGAAATTTGAGCTCTTTTGTAAAATAAATAGAGCACAATTTTGATTCAGACTGCATCTGCATTTTGAATGTTTTGCATTCCACCAGATCTAGATATGATGAGCATGTCTTACCTAATTTGAGTTGAGATGAGATACAGAAGACAGTATTAGATTTTAAGATACCTCTTGACCAAACTCTGTCAGGCTGAAAAACCTGGCTCTGAAATCAGATCTTTCCCAAGAAGCTCTCTGAGCTTCACATTCTTTTTTGCATTTAATTTACTATTCTTCAAAAGAGAGATGTCAAACTTACAAAGTCTGGCAGTGACATAAGGTGTATATATTTCTGATGAACTCTTCATCTTTCAAAATCTGAATTTCCTATCTTAGCTGCATGTTTGTGGCAAGATAAGAGAATGCTCACAGCCCTTCTCTTGCCTGTGTTTTGGGAGTCTTTACTTGAAGCAGAAACATATTGTACTGGAGGTTTCCATGACTGCATGAAAACTCGAGCCAGACAGCCCTAACACATATGTATGAATACTTTCAACAAGACATTGCTGTTTGTGGCCTAGGATGAATCCTGGAAACTACAAGTTTCCAGGCTGAAAGTGAAGTAGAGAGCAAGTTTAAGCTCTGTCTGCATAGATCTGGTGGCTAGACTCCAGAATAGTACTGTGCATATAGCAGAGAAGTTTGAGGAGCTCTTCAAATTTTGTGTGGCTGCCTGTCACCCCAGAAGACTGGCAAGACAGTCTCCTTTCTCCTATCCAAACCCTCTGATTTGTTTTCTACAGTAGGGCTGGATAAAGAAATATAGTGGAGAAATTTGATGGTCTACACTACATGTAATTTCACTCCCTGTGTTGAGAGACTTGTAAATGGGCCAATTTCGCTAATAACTCCAAGGTCGTGAGTTTGATTCCTGTATAGGCCGTGCACTTAAGAATTGGACTCAGTGATTCTTGTGGGTCCCTTCCAACTCAGAATATTCTGTAAAATCTGTGAAATCCAAGTGCTGCTAGTTTTCTAGTTGGCTGGTACTGAAAAACTCAAGTCGTCACAAGTATGTAGCTCAGCACTGTAGTTTTTGTTGGTTTTGTTCTTCTAAACATTGTCTTTGGGTTTGCCTCTTAGGACGTATTTTTAAATGGAATATTTTTTGTAAATATTACAAAGAATTAGTGAATACATGACTGTCATTAATTAAGGTCAGATACATTCTGATAAAATGTTAAACCTGTTTTGATCTCATAGATTATTTAATTTTTCTCTTCTGATTTTTCTCCCTCCAGTCTTCTTCCCCTTTATCCATCTCTTGTTAAGTGTTTAAGAGATTAGCAGTGTTTGAATGCTTGGTGTAATATGTTTTTCTGTTTTCCGTTATATGTTTGATTAAGAAGAATTATGAAACCTAAGTTAACTGTAGATGTATTGAGTTATGTTTGCATGTCAAGAAATTGAGTAAGCAGACAACAAAAATCTTGTTTGAAGTAAATTTAGGGTTGGGGTTTTTTTTAAGAGGTAGTTGCAAGTTCTTTGCAACTTTCACTCTTTGATCCTTGAGCTATGTTTTCAGAAGTGTAAAATTGATGATTTTTAATTGACTGTTTACAACACAAGACAGGATAGTTAGATTACCTGAATTCTAACTGAAGACAAATTTATGTTTTACTACATGTCGATTGTGCTGGAAAAACAGGATCAGCTTTATTGTTGGCATTAATCCATTAATAACACTGAGCTCATTATATGAAACTCTTTACTTTGTTATATTAGTGGGGCTCTCTTTCATTTTATAGCTGGCTTAAGTCCTGCTGAGATTCAGCAGTTATGGAAAGAAGTGACTGGAGTTCACAGTATGGAAGACAATGGCATTAAACACGGAGGGCTAGACCTCACTACTAACAATTCCTCCTCTACTACCTCCTCCACCACTTCCAAAGCATCACCACCAATAACTCATCATTCCATAGTGAATGGACAGTCTTCAGTTCTAAATGCAAGGCGAGACAGGTAATTCTGATGAGATTTCAACTGTGCTTCTCATTTGACATAAAGCTGTTGTATAACATCATAAGTCACATTATTTCCAATCACAAGACAACACTTAATACAGGTTACTTAAGAGACCGTGTAGACCTGATTTTTCAGAATTGTTTATCAATATGGCATAATTTTCAATAACAATATCTAATTGTGCAGACACAACAAAATTACCCACCTGTGGTTTTACAGCACCTGAACTTAAATCACAGAATCAAGTGGACTGGTGCTGAGTTGTAAATGCACATTTGCGGGCACAATTTTGTAAGGTGCATAGTTTCATTCATATTTGAGTTAACACACCTAGCAGTCAGGCCCTTACTGTTGAATCACACTCCTGGTTTCATTGAAAATGTACATCTATATGAGTTTTCAAGGTAGTAATTCAGTGCAAAGATTCTATGTTAAAAGTGCTTCAAAATGGCATATTAAAGAAGTTCTCGTTTGGTGCTTGTGAAAAGAACTACTGCTTTTTCCTTCTTTTGTGCATGACAGTAACACAGTTGACATATTTCATACAAATTTTCTGTGGTGTTAGTGTGGAATTCCACTATATGGATAAAGTTAAAATCATTTTTCAGACATATTGACAGATATTCTTCATTGTTCCTTAATTTCATGTAATGGATTAAATGCATACAAGAGTACATAGTATCGGTAGCACTTATCAGTGAATATATTAGTGTAGTCAGATGTAGATGATCTTAATATAAGACGAAATTTAATTTGTATAAGCACTAAATTTTTTCAAATAAATATTCCATTTAATTATTTTAATATTTAAATTATGAGACTATGATTTAAATGTCTCTTGTCCTCATGTGACTGTGAGAACATTTTTCCATCATTATTTTGTATTAATTAAAAATCTGAATGCATTTATAGTAGTACTTTTAGTTAGTAGTACTTCTGTGGTTATATCTCACAGAATGTTTCTTTGCTTCAGGATGTGTAGCTGACGCCCACATATGCAGAACAATTCCCTGAATTTCTTTGATAACTTATCATGGATGAAACTATTGCAGAGGTTCCAAAAAAAGACACAGAATACAACTAGGGATTTTTATGAAGCCAAATAGCTAATGGAAGCAATGTTTGTGAACAAAAATATTTATTAATGGAATCAACTTTATTTTTATACACATTTAAGTAGAATATTCAAATATTTTTTGAACATTCACAATATTCATAAATTCTGACTGTCGGTCTTCAGTATTTCTTCTCAGAATTGATCACTTGTGAGTGTATTTTTTATTTATAGGTAAATGTTACACCAAGGTCATATGGCATAATTAGCATATGGTATTATACAGTCATCTTGTTTTTTCGTCCTTTATTAACAGTCATCTTTGGCTCTATTTCTTCTCTAATTGGAACATCATCCAGCCTTGGCAGTTGAACTATTCAATAGAACGATTAAATTTTTCTGACTGCTCTGAGCTAAATTGACCTGTTTTGACCTGTTTGTCACTGATCGTAACCTGACAGGCGCTAGCAGCCTCCAACGATTATGGCTTTTGAGATGAATCTGATGCCTTATTCTTTTGCTACAGCTCGTCACATGAGGAGACTGGGGCCTCACATACTCTCTATGGTCATGGAGTTTGCAAATGGCCTGGCTGTGAAAGTGTTTGTGAAGATTTTGGACAATTTTTAAAGTAGGTGGATTTTTATTCGTTACTACAGAATTGTTTAAGGTCAGGGAGAGAGAAAGATGGCAAAGTTTTACTGTAAACCATAGCAGAGATTTTTTTTTGGTGTGTATTTCAAACAACTGAATAATCAAGACTATTGGCAGAGGGTCAAATTGTTATCCTTTCTTTCATTTTGAACACTTTTGCAGGCCTTTCAGTAGCACAGTTTTTAATCCTCTTATTATCCTTTACTGAAATGGAGCCTCTGAAAATTTGAAGAAATGCTTTAGATTTTATATTGGATAGTAGGAGTATGAAAAAGCACATCCTAAACTCTGATAGTTTGTGCAAAGTGGGAATTAATGTGTGTAGTATAAACAAAAAAGCACAAGGAACTAAGCATGACCATTTAACTCTCACTTGCTAATCTATTTTTGTTTTTATTCTTGTATGTGCGCAATATACATAGGGAAAAAACCACTATGAACAGGTGGGTTTGCACCTTTCAGGACTGAATAGTGATGTCAAAAGTTTTCATCTTTCAACGTTTGTTTTAGGCAGTTATCATCTAAATCGCAGCATTTAGAAAATAAAATACACAGCTCTTTCTTTTCATCTACAGCTTCAAACTGCAATGGGTTTCTGCATTTTTTCCCTTTTTTAATTTTAAAGTATTTACTAGTATTTCTGTGTTCATTTGAATTTTCAACAACAGCACTGATTTTCTACCCATGTACATTATGGACTGGTCTTTGTTAGAAGAGCCATACTCATTTGGCATGCAATAGATCTTAATGGAAAGCTACAGATAGGCTTATATAGATGAGTAACTTCAGGGGCTGAGACTCTTATGTTGTCATGGTGCAGCTAACAGGGTGAATGAACTGTTTCATGCTTCATCAACAATTAAGTTAATTAGCTCATTTGAAATTGCACTGCTTTGTTGCCAGGATGTTGGCAGAAACATCAGAAAGATGTGTTTACAAATGGTAAACTACAGGGTATATTACAGAAGCACCTTAACAGCAGACCATAAGCACTCAGTATAACAATAACTTTTATAATAGAATTACAGCAATACTATTTGTAAAGTATTTGCAATGCCTTCTCCATCTTTCACTTTTAAATGAAGTAACCTTTACTGACTTGCAAGTCTTAGGTAGGTATCACTCTTGATAAATTTTTGTTTATTAGTGTATTAAGTGGAATGTCAAAACAATGGCTTATTATTGGATAAAACTGTATAGGATTTGAAAGAACCTGATTTACATAAGTTTGTATTTAAAAGAAAATGAAATCTCCTAAATTCAATGCAGTGTGCTAAGTATTATTAATACTAAGAATTTAAATGCATTTAGCTAAAGCATTCTCCTTTTCAAGAAAAACTATATTTTTCTAAATACATCCATCTATGTAGGCTATAGTGATGCTAATTCTGTGGGCACACTTTGCACATCCATTATGTCAGGTCTCCTGTTATAATCCATGATCACTGAAACCATTTTGATTAAGGTAGTGTAGTGCTAGGTTTACAGATGTTCTTGCTTTCCTGAACCAAATAACCCTGGAAAATGTGAAAGTGACATATAACATTTTGATAATTCTGGTGCAGAGTCAATCAGGGTTTACAGCAGAGTCATGGCTTTTGTCCTATACACCAGCAAAAAATGTCCGAGAATATTTTGGTATTTCTTCTTTTCATTCAAGTCTGTCTTCTGTGCCATGAAAACAAATAAGATGTCATGATGCTGAATGGGTGAGTTTGTTTATGAAATAGAAGTATTCCTTCATTTTACACTAGTGTTAAGATGGAAATCAATACATAACTTTAGATTAGATTCTTTAGTACCTTTTCATGTTCACACTAATGCAAAATCCCCATTACAATTAAAAGACATTTTCTTTCAATTAAATATCAACTTTTAGTCCAAAGTTTGACCATTTTCCCAACCCATTAACTTTATAGGGGATGACAGGACTAATGGCTGTAGTTTTCAAGGCTTTGTTCTCAGTCTAATCTTTGTTGCGATGTTTCGGGTTCTCTGACTTGAAACAATATGATACCTGTGTTAAGAGAGTTAATGCAAGTATATTGTACCAAAGTGAAATATTAATAAGGTACACTACCCCAGTCTAGTAGTGTGTATTTCTGTAATATGCTTATGACAACTTTGAAGATTGCCTGGTTTATGAAGTGAACTGCAACTTCTCCTCAGAAAATGGTTTACCTAGCAGCTTGATATTAAAAAAAAAAAAAAAAAAGCTGAGCATCTGAGAAGGAGGATTAAGACAGAAAACGCCAGCTTTGCTTCACTTTACTAATAATGGAGAGGATTTAGGGTAAAGTGACAAATAACTCTCAATAAATGACTTAAAGCTACAAAAGCCATTTTCACCTTCATTTTTGTTTATCCAGTATGAATTGTTTTTAAGATAATTTGAGGACACTACAATTAGCTGTAATTCTTTTGAGGTATTCTGAATGGCTCAAGAAGTTTTACATTGAGTGCTGTGGAGTAGTTTCATATTTGGAAACATATGCATTGGTTTCAAGAAAGTACAGCTGATCTTCTTCATAGTAAATTTCTGTATATGTAACAAAACCTAAACCTATATCTTTACTTTGATATCTTTCAACTACAGACACAAACCCACAGTTTATATTTCTTTGTAAAATGGTGTTAGATTATAGTTGCTCATGCAGGCAAAACCAGTTTGACTGATCGGTCAGAACAACTTTTGGCTTAAAAAACCCCTTCAAAATGTAAATCAGAAAGTGTTGTGACATAGCTAGAAAGAAGATTACAAGATTTAAAGAAAAGTCCAGGCACTGACACAATTAGAAAAGTCAAAAATGCTTATGAGAACTCGGAATTTTGCTGTGAAACAAATGTTGACAGAAACTAACCATTTGCTAGTCTCTAAGTTAGGAACCCAGTAGACCTGTCAAAGCATTTATATTATTCTTCATGATGTTTTTTTAAATATTAGAGTGCAATAACATATAACAAAACTTCAGAATATTTTGTCTTCAAAATTAACTATCATTCTATTGGTTCTAAGTCAGTTTGAGTAGGAAGGGTTTGACTTTTAAGAGCTTAAACCAAAAGGTTTACACTTAAACATTTAGTCAGCAGATAAGTGTTCTTTAACCTGCATGCGGCAGACGCCAGCAAACATAACACAAGCTACAGTACAAAGATGGGTAGTGGTTTTATCTATAGAGACAAAGCAAAAAAAATCCTGCTAGAGAAGATAGACCAGCTTTCCAACAGATTGTGTTTATTTCTGGGGCAAGAGAGTATGTTTAAAAGTCTACAAAGAATAGTGACCAAGCATCATTGATCAGGATGACAGAAACAAAACCATATAAAGAAATAACGAAATATAATTAGTGCCATAAAAATTGCTGTGGGTTGTTTTTTTTTTACATTGTCCCTCTTTCAGCTGCAAAGAAATACATAGCGTTGTGTACTTTCTTAGTTAGTGTGCATTGTCAGGTTTTTTTGGTCTTTGACTAGGTGATGTGGCTGTAAAATTATGACCTCAAGAATCTTCTTTGAGCTTGTCAGAATGTTGTTTCTTCTGGTGACAGTGCCACCATCTCTCAAAACTAAAGCATCTGACATAATCAGCTAAATGAATAGTGACAGCTAACATTTTGTATTTAAACTCCTGTCAGTGTTTAAACATAAAAAGCTTGATGCAAAATAAATCAAACACCACTGATATGCAAGTGAAACATTTTGTTAAAACAATCCCTGACACACTTGGATTCCAAGCTGATCTCACTTCAGCTTTTGAAGTGTTGCAAGTAAAAATGAGTTTGAAATTCTTGTGGTTAAAACTGATAATTTACAACATGCATTGGAAGTTAGCAAGTAAATTTACACCTGGGAGAAAGAAAAAATACTCATTAGGCAAATTGAACAGATCCTTTATTGCACTTTTTGTCATTCTAAAATGTTTGCTTAACTGTTTTTAGAAAGACAACTGCATATTTACACTCTCTCGTCTATAAGCCACACAGCTCTAGCACACGGATTCAAGCAGTTTTTAAGAACGTCAGTCGACCACATCATTTATTCCATTTTGAAAACAAAAATCAATATACCTATAAAGTGACCCATAAATTAGAACTAGCTCACACAATGTTTGTTCAGTGCTGCCTTTCTGAAGGCACCCTTTGCATTTTTTCTTCACCTCTCTGTTTGAACTGCAGTCACAGTAAGAGGCTCATTAGGGGACATTAGGGACTGGAGCTAACCAGAATTCCAGAGCTTGCTTTGCTCTTATTAATGCATAGTAGAGTAGAATGCATTTAAATATTTCATAGGCATTCAGTAATTTGTGTGTAATCGCCTTGTTAGCAGACCAGTAGAAGTAGAACAGGTCTGTGAAATGGTGTTAGTGATTGCATGGGTAATTTACAGACCTTTGCCTTCCAAAAGAGCATTATTGGTGGTTAGAATAGAGCTGTGAAATAGAAGTAGCAATAAGTTAAAAAAAACTTAATAAAGGTTTTGTAACAAGCATCTTCAGGGATAACAACCCACTTGGTCCTTTTGAAGCAGCTATAATTTATGACATATGCAATATATCAAATGCATAAGATATTATTATAGAGCATTCATATGAAAAGGGTATTTGCAACATTAGTTCCAACTTCCTGTGAGGGACATGATTAAATGATTAATGAAATGTCCCTTTGCATATGCATTTTGAAATAGCAATTAGGCACTGACTGAGAAAATCCACCAATCCTCTCATTTTTCAGCATTATCTCATTCTTGATTTATAAATCATAGAGAATTTTTAACAGCAATCTGTGGTACCTGAGACAGTTATAAAAGTATAAAAGAGAATAATTTGGGTATAAAATAGTCATAAGTACATAAATTCATAATTTAATGTTAATACTGAGCCTATTTATTTAGTCACATTGGGTTGTATTTATATCCGACACTATTTCTGTACTTTGATTGGCATAATTAAGTAGGGGGAATGAATAGGCACTATTATTTTACATATCACTGGTAAACAATAGCGAGGAAAGAGAGATGTGGCAGAGGTATGTATGTGTTTTTCAAGTTCTCAGTAATCCACTGGAGGCTGTTCTATAAATGATCATTGAAGGGCTGCAAGCTAGCCTATAATTACAGGAAAGAAAGTGGCAGCTCTGGCATTTCATAACTATGTGTCCTCGAAAAGTGCTTTGTGAGTTTGTCACCAATGATAATTTAGATAGAGGCTCATTACTGAACATCACAACACTTTAAAAACCTTTCGCCTTCATACAGGAGAATAAAGGACTATTTTAATGGCAAGGTTCTTTTGTGTTCTACTGAAAAATTCAATCAAGACAAAACCTCGTTGACTATTATTGTAGTCTACAGTCTGGTTTAATAAAAGCTGCATAGATAAATTGAATGGGTTTCTAAGACTTGAGCGTATCAATGCAAACATCCTGTGCTTTTTTCCTTCTTTAAATATACAGTGATGGAGTATCACTAAAATGTAAACAAGTATAAAATCCTTTCTTATCGAAGTGAGTTAATGCAAGGTGATTTTAAGTAAAAAAATATTTTCCATATTATTTCAAGTATTTTCTAGCACTTTCTCAGTATTTATACGTGCATTGGTACATATATGTACGGACACGTACACATATAGACGTATACATAAAATGTGCATGTTAAAAAAATGATGCATGTTGCACGTCTTGTAGTTACTGGCAGGTCTGCACAATTTTACCTTTTATGAAGTAAAGATAATAATAGTAGTATAAACACTCCAGGATGAAAATTATTACCCTACTATTGGCTGTTTTGAATATAGTTTATTTATTTCTCAGCTGGAAAATGTGTCACATTTCAGAAAAAATAAAGTTAAATTGTGCAATTAAAAACATTAGAGGGCATCATTGGTTGTGATGTTCAAGGTGTAAATTTTTTTTCCAAATATTTTCAAAGAAGTTTTGTTTGACTTTTATAAGATAAAACAATCATGTTTTAGGAACATATGCTCTCTTTTTAAGTATGTGTGACTGAATTTTGGTGCTCATTAAAGAGAAGCTTATAATAGCACTGGCTGGAACTGAGCATAGTGCAGACACTTCTGTGTATATTGCTCCACGTAACTCTGCCGGTGCACCTCAACCTGACCTATAGCACTTTGCTATTTTAGTCCTGGGCTGCTTCTGAGAGAGATTGACAAGAGTAACAAGTTTTATAGAGGTTAATTGATATGGGTAAATGTCCACTAGAATTTTAGTTGAAACTATCTCTCTTCTTTCCTCTAATGGTGTATTATCTTTTGCTTTGCAGACTCCAAATCTGTTTGGGAAAAAAAAAAGTACATTTTGACCCACTTCAATATTTATTCCAGCATGTTCCTAGAATATATCATCCCCTATCTACCTCTTTTAGAACACGCTGTATTTTTATATTGTTCAGTTATAAGTAATACATTCATTTCAATCTGCTTCCTAATGGTATGTGTAGTTCATAATTTGCTTTCTTATTTCCTAATATGTTGCAAATATAATCAAGAGAAAATCCTGTTTCTTTCAACAACGTAATAAGCAGCAAAATTATGGAATAAGCTGCATGTGTGTTGCACAGTCTACTTTACACCTTCAAACCTATAATTCAGCTCTTCAGGATCACTTTTCAGTCCTCTGAGATATTTTCTCCCCTTAAAAAACAAAAAAAAAAAGAAAATCAAGTTAACATGGGATTAGTAAAAGATGGAGGCAAGATAAAAGATTAGGAATATGCCAAAGAAGTATGAAAATTGACCAGCACAACTTGTATATAACTTAAAAGGCACGACAAGAAAAACAAAACAAACAAACCAACCCAAAACCCAAAACAAACAAACAAACAAAAAACAAAAAGTCTGGAATTATTTTCGGTCTTCTGGAGGAAACAATGTATGTCTGTCTTGGCAGATTGCAGCATATTAGACCCTAAAAGTGCAGCAACTTTATACAGAGAAAAGTTATTTTAGAGGGTTTTAAAAATGTATTAGACCTAGTTCTTCTTTCACTACATTGCCTGTACTTGCGTGATAAATAAAGCAAGCCTACTTCACAGGCAAGAAAGATCAGAAAAAATAATTCTTAAAACAATTTTTACACTTTTAATGTTTCCATAAAGTAGCTTTTCTCCGAAATGCACAGCACAAGTAACCACATTACATGAAAGCATGGTATAAAAGATGCAGATATCTCATGAGTTTCCGAAGATTACTGTGTTAACTCTCAAGAAACTTGGAACATTCTCCCAAGTTACCATGTAATCATATTGAAATTACATTATACTGGACTTTCTTATCCCATACTGCATACTGCTGTTGCATTTAAAGTTCCTCAGGGCAAGGACTGTGTCTGTATCTATTTTGTAAGGTGTTATGCAAACATATGGTGTTGTAATAACTGATAAATAATCATGAGTACACAGTAACCTCAAACTTGGGCTGGGAGATCTTTTATACCTACACTCTTGCTTACTCGAATGTGTTATCCACATATACCTGTGAGCATATGCAGGTGAGCATACATGCACGTGGAAGCACAGTGTACTGGTGTGTACTGGTGAGAGTGGTAATGATGCTGAGGTAAAATCTGTCTTCAGACCTTTTTCTGGCAATTTTGTACCCCATTAACTGAAAACATTAAACCATTACATTTACAGACTGCACTATCATGCTTCTGTAATTGGGGGAGTAAAATTCTTTTGAATCAAAATTTCAAAAAACAAGTGAATGGTACATTCTAAGCAATTACCTGCTTTTTAAACTGACTGAATTTTTTGCATCAGTGGGGGGGAATGAAGTCAGCTCATTTGAAAATAAATAAATTATAGGTTTTATGACTCACATAAAGGAAATATGTCCTTGGTGATGCTTGTACTTAGCATAAACTACTAAGCAAGCTACATGTATACTCTTTAAACATTTTTTTTTAAAATTTTTAAACAATAATTAAAAGAATTAAAAATATCTTTCACAATCTCTTCCCCGGCCATGCCTGTTGCAAGGATAGCAGAACCTGTTGTATTCTGCTCACCTGAAAACTTTATCATTGGGTTGTAAAACTGAGAAGTCATGATTTAAATGAAAAGAGGCAAATGCTAATAAAACCGAGATACTATTTTCCTAATTTTCCACTGTTTCTGATGAACACATTTTCCCATAGATTAACAATCAAATTACTACATAGTTCTCTGATTAATTCTGCTAGGAAAGAAAAAGGAGAAGATACATTTCCTCCACAGCACAGATAACTTATTTACTGTAACTGTGCGATAGACCATCCATGACAGTAGTCCTTGCAAAGCTTACCACTCATGCCTACAGTGGAAAGAGCCAGTAAATCCACATTCAAATGCAGAACTCCTTTGCTCTCATTTCTTCTTTAGCCTGATTCTTATGTTTTCTTCTCAGTGGAGCAGCAAACACACTATTAAAGCTCAAAAAGGGACTTCTTTGATCCTGGGAGAGAGAGAAAATAAAATGAAAACATTGTCCTACAAAAAACATTATTAAATGATCTCTGTAAAGTTGTGCTTGATTGAAGTCTCTGGGGAACAGCCACTTGGGTCTGGGCTGAAGTTCAGTTGCAGGCAGCTGTTCACCGAGGTCCTCTTTCCCTGTTGCGGATTGTGGTTTTGTTTTGCTAAACGGGCATGCATACCCCGAATCTCTCCCAGGAGGCTTGCTGTATTAGTAAGGTGTGTAGCTGGTCCTTCCCCTGCCTTTACCTCGCACACTCTTCCTCATACTGGGGGCCCAATCACTTCCATCATCCTTAAAGGCTACTTCTAGAAACTGCACTGAAAATTGGATATTCCCCTACAGCTCTGTTTTGGGGAACGGGTAGCAGATCTTCTGTTGTTGCTTAATGATTAAAGAAGAGCAGATAGAGAAATCTTAACAAACTCTAATTCACAGTTGTTCAAGCAGCCTAAAAGCAATTACATCTTTTGGACAATCATTTGTAAGGTGATTCTCTTTATCTGCATCAGCAATAGGGAGTGGAAATCTGTTCAGTCACTCTCACAAATATCCATAATTGGTTACATTGGCCTTTAGATGGCATATGTGACCTGGGAGATGGGAACTGGTATCTGACTCATCACTGGGAAAGTTTGTAGAACTAAATGAAATAATCAGTTTTGTTATTTTGTATTGTTTTGTGTAAGGCATGCTCTGATTAGGTCTTTTTGCATAACTCCCATTGGAACTAATGGAAGCCATATGCACAGGAGAGAAAAATGGACTCATAAAGATATTTTCCTCATCTTAACACTGTCTTATTTGCTTCTCTAGGCACCTTAACAATGAACATGCATTGGATGACAGGAGCACTGCTCAGTGTCGGGTGCAAATGCAAGTGGTTCAGCAGTTAGAAATACAGGTTTGTTACATGGATGTATTATCCTACTATCAGCCTATTTACTATCAACCTAAACTAAATTGAATACACTTGCCTTAGCGACTCTAGGTTAAAGCCATATGCTTCTTGCATGAAATTTGTTAATACTCATGAACAAGTGGGATTTTTTATTTAAAGATCTTTCACATTATAAATTATGCAATAATTATCTAACATCAAGGTTGTCTACAGTATTTTGCTTTAACTGAAACACCAATGCTGTTCATCATGAATGAAAAATGCAGTCCTTGGAGCAAAGACTGGATCCAAGCCATCTTCAGTTCTTGAAACACTGGATCTGGACCCCTCTTCCTTCTTCCCCTTCTGACCTCTGGTGTTTGTCTATGCCATTCTGCAGGATTAAAGAGTAGCAGTACTCCCAGCGTGTCAGTGGGCATTTTTCTGCAAGCAGAAGGTGTAATGTCAGACCTACTCAAGGAGGGTCCCACACCAAGGACTGTGAGGCTCCAGTGCCCTGTACATGCTCTAACCATTAGAGGTCACTGCATGTATGTGAACGCTCCCTTCTGCTTATGCAAGAAGTGATGAGTACCCCTGGGGTCTCACAGTACTGAGATTACACTTATCAGGCCACCAAGGTTGGGCACAAGCCTCATGAGTGACTCTGCGGGACACTTACACCACGCCACCCCTCCTGCCCATACAGTAGTCATAGCGGGGGCATCTCTCAGCAGTCCTGTCCCCTCTTGGGACCAGCCAGAGGAGCTCAAGAGACATAGCAAGGGACTGAGATTTTTGTCTCTGTTACTCGCCGTGTCTGGAGAAAGAAGGATAAACAGGTTTCTCCTTTCTCACCTTTTAGCATATTGTCTCACTGTCCTCTTTCATGTAAGAATACTTGTTCTTCTTTCAGCCAAGGCAAACTGTTTGAATATTTTTTATTTTAACACTGGAAACGCAAAACAGCGAGAGGATTGTACAATAATGTACAGAAATTGTCATTTGCCTTAAAATGAAAGATTTTTAAACCCAGGTAAAGCTGCTATTTCTTCTATAATATTCATAGGATAGTGTTAGCTTAATTTGTTTGTTAGGAATTTACGTCACGGCAAATACCATGTCTCTAAAGTGTCACACACCTAGTATGAAGCCACACAATATGAAGAAACCCTCTTCGCACCCCCTTGCCTCAAATGTTCTTTAATTGGAGATGCACTGACCAAATTATATCCATAATACTGAAAATATATCCAGTAGTTTCCTCTCTTAAAATTACTTACAAGTTGTTTTCCTTAGTCCAGTCTCAGTCTACAGGTGTAACTGTTGAGCAAGAACTCTCCAGAAAGTGGTAATATTAAATACCAAGTGATTCTTATTGCAATTAATGATGTAATCATATTGTAGGTATCCAGAGCCAAGTCACTAGAATAAAATTTTGAGCATTTCTTCTTGCAACCTAGTTTGTGGGTAAAAAAATCTTTTCATGTTATAAGGTACATTTTCCTCTTTCATGTTCTGCTATTTTTATCCACAAGTTACATATTTCAAACACTTCCTCCTCTTTCTTTTTTTTTGCTTTTAATTTGGTAACTTGTTTGAGTCTGAAACTACCAATATTTACATACCATATGGTCAGAAAATGGTATAAGTTAGGAAAAAGTAGAGGTTTGAGTAATGAGATGTTTTCTAAAGGCAGTGTAAGGGCTGCTTAAGAACTGTTTACAATTTACAAAGGCTAGGCTGTAATCTAACAGTCCAAGTGAAGATTTAGCTTGCAGTGTGACCAATTATGCCATTTTTTGCTTTGTCTGACTGCTAGTGAAGTAGGGTCCATCAGTTGTAATGAGACCCAGTTCAGTGTCGATGCCGACTTGATGGCAGAGTTCAGCATTTCACACTGCCTAGGCTCTGTCACTCTATTGAATTAGATTGATGATGGCAGATTGCAGGGGGCACTAACTGGACCTCAGTGGGAAAGGATGAAGTGTGTAGTCAATCCTGGCAGGCACTGTGCTTTGAGGACCCTTCACCCCTTCACAGCTGTTGGCACTAGGCCATTGCTAACAGTGTCCACAGGACTTTAAAGAGACTCTATGGGCCTTCTAATTTATGGTCTTAGTAACTTGTTACTGTTGAGGCAACTGTGACCTCAATTCTCTTATTGACAAAAAGATGAAGTGCTATTTGTTTTCTCTGACCTCTTAACATATGAAAGGCTATAAAAGTTTTTTGGTTTTTTTTCTTTCTTTCCATGCCCAAAGTTACATTTCCTCTTAGATAAGTTTCTACTGACACAGACTTTTATATGTAGGAATCATTACACCGAGACAAGCTCCATGATAAGATGTATCACTGCAGTGAAATAGCTGTATCAGTCATTTCTAAAATGCTTCTGATCTCACTCTTTCTTAACAGCTTTCTAAAGAACGTGAACGTCTTCAAGCAATGATGACCCACTTGCACATGCGACCCTCGGAGCCCAAGCCATCTCCAAAACCTGTAAGTGCATATTGCTTTATAAACAGTAAATAGGTCTATGAATGTAGCAGGCTAAGAAAATGAACAATTTAGTGACAGTTAGAAAACAATGAGTGTGATAAAAAATGTGGCAATAGAATGAAAGTAAAATGCAATAGCTTGTCAAATTGTATGTTTCTTTAAAAGTAATGCTATCTTTTACAAAATCTATCCAATCTACACGATAGGCGACACTAAACAAAGTACACCTGTAAGTGTCCAAATCATTGCCTTGAGACTGAAGCTAGAGAGAATATCTTTTTGTGATGTATTTACAGATATTAAAAGAAAATCCACTTTGAAAGATTTGAAGTTCAGTGGCAGTAAAAAGTAAATGTAAAATGAATCTAGGTACTTAGAAAATTTCTCAAATTAGTTACACAAATAAGAGACACAAATAAACAATTTTTATTCTTAAACAAATGAACAAAAACGTTATTTTATTCAGCGAATTGAAAGAATTGTAAACACCGGGGGTTTGCTCCTTTTTTTGTCAGGGCTGCAGTGTTATACCTTCACTGTGATTGATGCTGTTGGGGTTTGTACAGGTACTGAAAAGTCACTGTTGCTTCCAAACGCTCCACAGCGCTGCATCGGGCCCCAGTTGTGCAGCTGGATCTGCAGTCAGGTTCAAACTCCATTAAACTCAGTGTGGCTTCATATAAGCAAAAGTATTGTCTGATGCAGGTCTAGTGTTGCACTGTCAGGTGTCAGGCATTGCAATACTTAAAATTTACTGTGCTTAGATGCACTGCACTTATACTAGAAGCTGTGTGAAACATGAACTGTTCATTAATGTTAACCACGACAGTAACTTTTGTATGTACAATATGAAGAGGATATACCAGTACTTGAAGATGAAGTGCTGGGGTATTGATGAAAATCTGTGGCTATAAATGTCTAGAAATGTAGGAAGAAGGAACATAATCTGTTTTAAAGAGCACACTTGCATATCATGCCCAGTTAATATTTACGTAGAAGGACAGCATGCTCCATCTCTTGTGTTTTCAGCTCCACGTACTTCAAAGAAAATCTTTGTTTGAGGGCACACTTCATAACCTGGTGATGAATGAAAAAAGTGTTGGCATTTCCTTAACCCCTGCCTTTGTGAGAGAAAATTTAGATGCATTATTTTTGCTTTCATTAGCCTAATTAAATTCAAATTTTTTGTTTCATTTATCTACTAAGGAAAAGCATTTGGAAACTTAAATTTTAGTATATGTGGGATATATATGAATAAAGCAATCTGAGTGCTTTTTACATTTCAATGCATTGTGAAGTTTTTCTCTCATGCAGGCTTCTCTAGCAATTCAGGTTAGATACCAAATGCTGCTGAACTGTGCGGGAAAAGGTTTTCAGAACACATTTTTACTATTTAATTATTTTAACCCCAAATGATCTGTAGTCTATCAAAATTTTGAGAATATTGTTTCTTTAGAGTTTTAAGCCACTGTCTCATTTCAATAAGATTATTTTTCTCATTCCTTCCTATAGTATAATGTAGATAATCACAAGACAGAATAATTGTCTCATAAATCCATCAGGAATCTGCAGCTTGTTCTTTTCCAATTAATTATTCAATCAGTAAATTTTTTAAAACTCCAGCAGCATGGTTACATCTACACTAATAAAGAATTTTCAGCCTATAATCCAAAACAGAACCTGAATGAATAATGTAATTGAAGTATTACATTACATAAACCACACATGAAAGAATTGCTAATTGCGTTTGATGGTGGGCAATTAATACAGAATCTTAGATGAGCGATTTAAAATGAAACCACAGTTTAAAGTTCCCTTTGGAACTAGAGATATCTGAAGTGGTGAGCTGCACTGCTGGCCTCAAATTGGTTTGAAAGAAGAGTGGTCAATACTACTCTCCCCCCCCCCTAAAATTTATACACTGTACAAAAGAAGCTTCAAAATTGATATGATAGTAGAGATTTATGGTCTCATGTGCAGTGGCTCAGTTGAGACGGCCCACACATTTGATAAATATTAATAGCATGAATTTATTACCAAGGAGAAATGAGCTCTGTTGGTTCATCACTGCACCCTTAACAGCTATCAGTACATGAACACAAGGTGCAACCGCACTGTCTATTATATGACCCCATTTACTCTCTGAATGGTACTTCATTAAATGGTACCTTTTGGCCATGCTATGGATGGATGAAAATCAAAGTTATCAAGGCTGCGAGTCCTGAATAATGAGTTTCACCCAACCTTGAATATATTCAGATGAGCTGAGGTGGCTAAGTGCTCATCCTGGGTTTTACATGCTTTTCTTTAGTTAATAATAAATTCTATTTTATCAGTTCATGATTGCATGCCTACAAACATGTTATGCTTATTATTGCCAGCTGGTAGAATAAGTTACCGTAACATTGTAAACATAGTAGTTTGCATCCATACAGATTGAGTATTTCTGCAGCTTTTGTAATTTTTAATGTGTCTATAAAGTGTATTGTAGCTACATGCTATTGCTGTGCCAGAAGTTTTACTGTTTTATGGTTTTTCATTTTGCATTTTCTTGTTGGCAAATAGATAAGTTAAAGAATCTCTCAATGAAATGCTGTGGAAGTAAACTTTTTTTTTCTTATTTGTATGCTTGTTTGTAAAAGGAAATTATTATAAAAATCAAATGCACTTTTAAAAGCTTTGATATTAAAAAACAAAAGTCAACAATTCAGAGTTAAGAAAGGTATATGTCACTTAAATCTTCCTTCATCTCTCAGACTCTTCAAAAATGCTTCTTTTTGCCACAGACAAGTTTAAACTCTGAGCTTTGTGAATGTATTAAATAAAGCATTTGGTAGCATTATCTGAGCTTTTTTTATGTACGTAACAAAGAATTCCCATTCCAGTCTGCTGGCTTAGAGTAGGAACAGAAGAACAGTCTGTGGTTTATTGGGAACAGATGCACTTGGGGATGCCTTCAGGGTGCCAGTCGTTATTATTAGACTGCTAATGTGCTTCTTCTGGCTGCTGCCCAAGAAAGGAGAACAATTAGCTGGCATATGTTAATTTTTGTTTCCCTAACAAATCTCTCTACTGACTAAATGTGTAAAACAAATCCACAAAGAAAGATCAATCAATGCTGTACACATCATTTTCTCCCCATTAAAAAGAGGTTTATCTTAAGAAGTGTATTTCGGATTTAAAAAGGCAGGTGTTACTAAATTATACACAAACCCCAAATTTTCGATATTTACCCCCTTGCAGTTGCTCCATACAGATGAAGAACAATTAATATTATTTTCCTGCTCAGCTCTATAAATTACTGTATAAAGTGAAAATGACTACAGGTTACCCCTTATGAGTATCATTTAAGTATAGGTTACCCCTTATGAGTATCATTTAAGTATACGGAAGCAATCTTTTTATGTGCTGCCCTGAGTATAAATTCTGCTAATTGGATGTTATTTATGACAAAAGATGTACGGTAAATATGACTGAGGTAATATGAGTTTTTGATAATGAGGACCAGGGCCTTCCTGAGGGGAGTAATGAAGGGCACACTGTTAAACAGCTTGCATACATTCGCACCTTTTTTTCCTTTTTTCTACCCTGACACCCACTTTCCAGGGTAGATCAGCAATAAGTGACACTGTAATCATAAATTGAAAATGATACTTCCAGAGGAATTGGCAAACTTGACATTTCATTATATTTGTTAACACATGCCACAAATGATTGTTAGTGAGGAAATTCCATTTCCCTCTCTCCATCTCCAATCAGATTTAATTTGAAAATTTTCAGCCTCCTCCGGCTAATTTGCAATTAAGACAATTTTGTTTGAATATGTAGTAATGTCATTACCATTCCACCAAATTAGCAAGGAGACTAAAGGTCAGTGTAAAATTTTCCAGCTGGCTGGAGCCTCTCAGCTGAGATTTGGGACCGGGGAAAAAAAAATACAAAACTCTGGCAGCATCAGAACTGCAACTTATTTTAAGTCTTGTTTGTATGAATACTAACATCTTTTATTACATTTATTGTTGTTATTTTTGTTTCACCAGGAGCTAGATCTGTTTTACAACAGACCTAAATAGTCACCAGCTAGTTTCTATTGCAGACAAACATACTTTCTATGAAGTCTAGTAGTACTAGAAGGAGTTAGTCCTCAGTAACATTGCAGCAGATTATTAGATAACCTCTAACAGCATCCTCTAATTAGAGTTCTTATGATACAATTTCATCCTGTAATTAGTTGAGATTGGCTGCTTCCTTTTGCAGCTTATTAGTGGCAACACAGCTGTAGAAGTGAATCCACTCTCATTTGTCAAACCTTTTTAAGTTGGGTTTTTTTTGGGGGGGTGTTGTTGGCTTTTTTATTTATTTATTTTCTCTCTACTTTTTCTTTCCTTTTGGGTTTCTGCAGCTCAATTTGGTGTCTAGTGTCACCATGTCTAAGAACATGTTGGAGGCATCCCCACAGAGCTTACCTCAAACTCCCACAACACCAACGGCCCCAGTCACCCCAATTACCCAGGGACCTTCTGTAATCACCCCAGCCAGTGTACCCAATGTGGGAGCCATTCGAAGAAGGCATTCAGACAAATACAACATTCCCATGTCATCAGGTAGGACACTTTGGATCAATACTTTTATTTTGATATTCCCTAAATTTGTACTGTTAAGTAT